CCACAGGTTCATCCTGATGAAGGAAGGAGAACGCCAGACCTCCTGGAACCTGGACTCCCAGCCAGCCCCCAGTGGGGGGTCCCAGGCCCTGTTCCCTGTGGGCCCTGTGAACCCCAGCCCCAGGTGAACATTCAGATGCTATGGTTATTACAACAACACCCCCCAGATATGGTCGTACCCCAGTGACCCCCTGGAGCTGGTGGTATCAGGTGAGGAACCAAGCCCTGTCCCCTCTGTGGTCCTGTGGTCAAATCCTGACCCTGTCTGGAAGACCCACAACATAGGATGGGAGTGAGGGTGCTACAGGGAAGGTCACCCAGAGGGGCATCCACCCCTCCGAGGAATGGAGGACCACACTGTCTCCCCAGGCTTGCCCCTTTCCACACGCCCATCACTCGAAGCTCCAGGTACATGCAGAAGGGTCTTCAGGGCCCTAGGGCAGATACACCAGGAGGGTCTGAGCCTAGAGGGGGTCTCTATGGGAAGCTCCAGCCCTCCACCCTCCTCTTGTCTCTTTCCCGGGACCCTCTGGGGGCTTTAGCCCCCCACCCACAGATCCCAACTCCACAACTGATGCATCCCTGGGATCTCTTAAGTCAGAGTACAGACCATCCCAGGGAGTCTGAGAGCCTCTCAGGGGATCTAACTCCCCCCGAGATACTCAGAAACAATCTTGTGTCCTTGGGGGCTGAGAGTCGAGCAGAGAGGCCAGGGGGAAAGCTCCAGGGGCTCTGAGGCTAGCAGATGAGGGATGGGTTAGTTATGGCAGAGGCAGATACTGAGGGGAGAGTAACCAGGCTGAAGTGAGGAGCACGGCAGCCCCATGGCCTCACCTCCCTGTCCTGGGTTTACGATGTACCCGGTGGGGTCCATTGAGGGGGGGGGATCTGTGATTTGGGGTGTGTCCCTTTCCATCGGGGTCTCGGTTTCTCCATTTGCGATGGGGGAGAATCCTGGTCAGATCTCAAGGACATGTCCATTCCGACCCTACAGGGATGCTGCCTTAGGTCTGCAGAATAGGAAGGTGGGCAGTGAGGGCTGTAGGATGCAGGGAAGGGCAGAGCAGTGACGTCGGTGACGTCCCCAGGGCTCCTCCGTCCATCCTGCGGTGCTCAGCCTGGCCATATCCAGACAGCCCTGGTGGAAAGAAATCAGAATCAAACAGAAATAAGCAAGGCTTTGACGGTCGGGCTCCGTGGGATGTAAATCCCAGATCTGCCACTTCTGGGCTGTGGGGCCTCAGACGAGTCCTTTCACTGCCCGTGAAGCGCTTCTCCCATGGTCTCCCTCATGGGTTTGCTGAGAGGTTTAGGTGAGATCCTGGAAATGAGAGCCCTCTGTGGGATGGACCCACCGAGTGCACAGCATCCTCACAACCCCTTCCCTGATGTGCTCGCTGAAAAGTGCAGTCAGACCCCACGTGCGAATGTGGGGTCTGCAGGGCAGAGGACGGGTCTTGGTTGGACTTGGAGAGCACGGAAGGCACGGAGTCCGTCCCACACAGGGACGGTTCTGAGCACCCCAAAACCTCTGACAATAGGAGGTGCATTCAGCTCCAGCTACAGGAGAGGGCAGGGCACATGGGGCAACAGACTGGGCCATTCCAATCAACGTAGGAGCCCAGAGCCCGAAGCAGCTGTCCACTAGGGTGGGTAGTGTGAGGAGAGCACAGGGAACCCAGAGTCCTGGGTTCAAATCCCAGCTCTGCCACCCACTTCCTGGCCCGGTGACCTGGGGCACCTGATTGATCTCTCTGAGCCTTGGTTTCCTTCTCTGTGAAAGGGGTGAAGCGGGGGTGGCATTTCCCTGGTGCGTGATTCTTACGGGGATGAGAGGTAATGAATGCACAGACCCCAGCACGGGTCTACACACAGTAGGTGCTCAGTGAACTGACACCATTGGTTCATTCATGATATCACTTGCGTCCCAGGTCACAAGTACCAGAGAATTTTGATCCAGGTCCCTGTGATCTTCCTCGTTCTGCTCTTCCTTCCCCTCCTCTTCCTCCTTATCCGACACCAGCACCAGAAAAAATGCTGCGAGTCAGGTAAGTAGAAGACGGGGAGCTCTGGTCTACCTGAGAGGTGAGACCTAACTCTGAAGATAGGAAGTGGCTTCTTAGAGCACCGCCCAGATATGGCACCAAACAGAAAGAAATGCTCAGTTTTTGAAAACCCTCCAAATTAAACAATAAAACATTTCTCGGAAACTCTTTCCATCACAGCCTTCTTGGGACAGGCTGGAATCCCCACAAAGTACAGTTATGAGGGTGGATAGCAGGGGTGTACCCAACACCTGAGGAGCCACGCCGGTGATGAGGAAGGGGGTCATGGGAGGGGTCGTTATCCCCCTGCAGCCAAGAGCAGTGGGGAGGAGTGCGGGAGGATGTGGCAGTGGTTGGGAGATTAGTTGCTTTGAGCAAATATGTAAATATAGGGGGGCTAAAGGGAGCCAAGTTACTCAAGGTCTGCAGGGATCTATAAATGTGCAAAGGCAGTTGGCTAGAATAAACTCTGGGCTGTTCTTACTGGAATTGGAAATGCCAGTGTGACCTCGTTAAAATGTATATACATCGATGGACATGACATGGTCGTAGGCGTGTCTGTGCATAGAGGTACAAACACACGTGTCCCAGGTACACCCACCAATAAAACCTAGACACGGTGACGGCACGCCAATCATCCAGATCTTGGTTTTTAACTACTATCCTCTATTAAAAGGAATTAGGGTTCATCAGAGAAATTCTTTATTCCGGATTGGGGCAGGGGAAGAACTAATGGAGGATGCTGGGGCATCTTAATGTGCCAGAAAGTGCAAAAACTCACCAAGAATGATGGAGACAAGTCAGAATAACAAGGAGCCAGCTGAAAGGAAATCCCTTTGGAAAGATCTAGAATGATCTGAGCATCCAAGTATGGAATTACAGTGCATTGACTAAAGCAGAAATCCATTAGTTTATAGAGTAAATTAATTAATGCACGGGGGGAAAGGGCACGCTTTAGAGTAGAATGCCAATGAATCGATGCAGAATGATGAGCAATGAAGAGATTGGAGATTGTTATAAGTTAGCTGCCATGATGGTGGATGACTCAGGGAGGGCCGTCTGTGCATCGTAACAATAACTATGGTATATTTGAGGACGATCATGGTATTGGACGAATACTCAAATATGTCTCCAAATACCAATCAAATTCTAAGGGAGGATTGAGGACTTCACCACAGGAAACCTGGCAGACACCTACTTGACCAGGCATTCGGAGTGCTCAGCACCAGGGATGGGACAGGTGGATATCCTGGGCTCCTGATATTGATGGAGGTGATCACAGCCTTGTCAACACCCTTTCCAGGGTATCCATAAGTAGACATTGGGTAGAACCAGAAGGAAAATAAAAGACGCTGTTTGGCAGTTGGTAAGACAGGAACCGGGAGTGTGGGTTTGGTCCAAGGGTTGCATCAGTGAAGATCTCCTGATTGGGAGTTCTGGGGTCATGTAGACGAGGGTTCGTGCTTGTGGGGGGTGCACACTGGTGTATTGAGGACAGAGGGGGCATTATATCAGAAAAAGATCTACCTACCTATCTACTTATTATCTGTCTGTCAGTCTCTCTCTGTTTCTGTCTATGTGCATGCATACGTGTATGGGTGTGCATATAGATGCATATGTAACGGACCTACACTTTCTTTCTCCCCTCCCCTGTGATACTCATGCCTGTATCTCCAAATCCATGTCCATCTCTGTCCCTCTTTGGCAAAATATTACCAAAGCAGAAATGTAGGTCAAGGTGATGCAGGAATAAAATACAGTTCTTATAAATATTTTCTGTAAAAAAATAATAATTATAAAATCATTCAGAATGAAGAGATTTAATAACAGACATAGACTTTTAAAGACATTCTTTCAGTTTTATTTAAAAAATATATATATTTAGGGCACCTGGGTGGCTCAGTTGGTTAAGCGACTGCCTTCGGCTCAGGTCATGATCCCGGAGTCCCGGGATCGAGTCCCGCATCGGGCTCCCTGCTCCGCGGGGGGGTCTGCTTCTCCCTCTGACCCTCCCCCCTCTCATGTGCTCTCTCTCTCTCTCTCTCTCTCTCATTCTTTCTCTCAGATAAATAAGTAAAATCTTTAAAAAATAAAAATATATATTTAAATCATCCATGCACGTTTTGTGTGTTAGAGTTTAGTCGTTTGCCCTGAATTCCAAATCGAGGAGGGTGGGTGTACAGCCTTGTCAGGGCTCAGATCCTCTGAGATCCTAACGTGGCCCTGGGGGCCAGGTTCTGGGGTCGTTTAGAAGGTAATTTCTCACTTTGCGCAGGTGCCTCACAGCCTGAAGTTGACACAGAACCCTGCAGAAAAGGTAATTGCTCCCCAAAGACGCTTCCCCAACCTCCCACCTCTGCCATAGTCCCTTCACCGCTGCCTAATGCCCCTCTTTTCCTCCCCTCAGGTCCAGCTCCGTGGCTCCTGTCCAGGAGGAGAATCGGAGTAAAAAGGAGGGTCCTGGTGGGAGACCAGGAGGAGTGCTTGGGCCGGGTTCTGGGCTTCTCACGAAAATCGCCACATCTATGTGATCCCAGGCACATCCCTGCCCCTTGCTGGGCCTCAGTCTCCCCATCTGAGGGTGGAAGGGGCATGTGGGACTGCAGGGTTTCAGGCATTTTGGCATGATATAGAATGTTCTTGTCCTCCAGATGCTGAGGGGAGAGAGTCCCAGCCTGAGGAAGACATACAGACGGACAGTCAGGTGAGCCCCTGCTCCTGTCCAGGGCACCCAGCACAGCCTTGTTAATTAGTTAAATGTATGGGCTGCTTCTCCATCTTCCTATTCCTCAGCCCAGCAGCATCTGACCTCACCCTTCCTCTTGAAAGGTGATACATGTAGGCTGCTGGGACACCTTCTTGGGTTTTTCTGATACCCACATGGGCCCCCCCTTCTTGGTCCCCTTATTTGGGTCCTTTGAGCTGTTGGTTGTCCAGGTCTCGTAATGGTGGTGCTGCCAGGGACAGTTGTACAGTTTGTGCACCTGCACAATAAGGACTGTGGGGTCTGAGACCCTACTGGTGGCATCTGAGCAGAGCGCCTTTTCTTATTCACACAAAGGCACCCTATAGAATGGTCTGTCCATGAACAGAGACCCTCAGCCTGGCTTTTTCTCCACTTACTCTCTTCCCTCTGGTTGTGTGGATTTAGATGCAATGGAACTACACAATAACGTGCCTTAGGTGTAATGATTGTCATTCAGCTCCTAGTCCTGCAGGAAGCTCACCCAGCCATCGTGTTGACCTCACCATGAGACAATTCTGTATTTTATTTGTCACGTTTATTTAATCCCAGGTACGGCTGGACCATCTCTATGTTCGTAATTCCACAACTATTTCTAGCCTGGTGCCTGAGCACCAGCCTCAGATATCCAAGCACCTGTGAGCTGTCTCTTCTTGTCCGTCCACTGGGCATTTCAATGTCCCATGCCATATGCCAAGTCTCCAGTCTCCCCAGAAGAGCTGTCTCTCCCTCGATGTTCAGTACTTCCCCAAACCGTCTAGAGACACATTGTTCATCACAACTGGGAGGGCGTTGCCAATGGTCTCGAGGGGCCAGAGGTGCTGCCGCACACCCCACGACGTGCAGGACAGCGCCCCCCACCCCCAGAGCAAAGAGCACCTGGCCAGCGTGGTGACACTCGGGGTGGAGGAGCTTTTTGTAACAGAAGCAGGCTCTCCCCTGGCCTCTCCACCGCACTTACCACCACCCCAAATCAGTGCTTCCTTGTTTGTGGGCGGTTCCCAACCCCATGGCCATGAATTCCTCCAGGGCAGGGCGCTGATCTGTCCTCTTCTTGGCCCCCTGGCAGTGCCCTGTCTGTCCATCTGTCTGTCTATGTGCATATCTATGCATGCACTTATTGTGTGTGTATATGGGTACCGAATGAAGTAGATGAACCAAATCCTGACTACTCTGAGTTTCCCCCACTTTAGCCCATTTATTCATTCAGTGAGTTGACAAATCTGATTAGGAATCTGTGTTTGGCAAGGCTCTGTCTTAGACCGGGTGACGGAAATACGAGTGAAAACACGTCCAAGCCAGGGATCCACGGGATCCGATTTAGGTTTTAAGATCGACCCCGGCTTCTGGGTGGACACATAAGCGAAGAGGGACAAAGTGAAGGAGTTCCGCCCTCCCTGGCTCCCCCAGCAGGGCCCTGACGGTGAGTTTGCCAAGGGGGTGACTCCGCCCCGGGGGGGGGAACCACTCAGGCCTCAAGGGGCGGTGGCCCCTCTTCCTTCCCCACGTCGGAGGGATTGCTGGACAGAATGGACATAAAGCGGAACAGGACAGACACGTGCGTCCTTGCTGCTCCCGGCACCCTGGCTCCCCCACCCATCACACATTTTACTCCCACTCTCCCGCCCTCCAGGCCGCAGCATCTGAAGACCCCCAGGATGTGACCTATGCCCAGCTGAACAGCTTAAATCTCGGACAGGGGACGAGTGCACCCCCTTCCTCCCAGTCAACGGAGCCCCCAGCAGAGCCCAGTGTGTATGCTGCTCTGGCCGTCCACTAGCCCAGGAAAGACCCAGACCTCACACCCCATGGAAGGGGGATTGCAGAGACCCCAGGAGGCCCTGGGACTGCCCCCCCCCCCGCCCGCCCCGTGGACGCTCAGCTAATGCCCCTGCGCCTGGGGACCTTTCATAAGCAAGCAGGATATCCTGGAGCTTTAGAAATCACTTAATTCTGCAGATAAAGATAAATATCAGCTCTATTTCTAAAACAAACAAACAAAAAAAAACAGCACGTAAGAGAAGCAAACCACAAATGAAGATAAGACTTTTTTTTTTTACTTAAATGACAATGCAAATATTCTACATCAACACAGATTTTTATTTTCATGGTCATGTAAATGTCATATGCCAAGATCAAATGGGAAAATTTTTTTTAAAGATTTTATTTATTTATTTGAGAGAGAGAGAGAGAGAGAGAGCACATGAAAGGGGGGAGGGTCAGAGGGAGAAGCAGACTCCCCGCTGAGCAAGGAGCCCGATGCGGGACTCGATCCCGGGACTCCAGGCTCATGACCTGAGCCGAAGGCAATCGTCTAACCAACTGAGCCACCCAGGCGCCCTCAAATGGGAAAATTATGAATGAAATTATTACAAAGAGAAGAGAGCCTGAAAATCAGCAGTCCAGGCAACATCTGTAGGAGTCAGAAAAAGAACAGCAAATTCATCCCATGGCACTGGGTGAAAATGATAACATATATTGATCATAAAGAATGAAAGAGATAAAAATCAGTTGTATGAGCTTGGGCTGCCATAACAAGATACCATGGACTGCGGCGGGGGGATGGGCTTAAACAACAGAAACTTATTTCTTCACGGTTCTGGAGGCTGAAGCCCAAGCCCAAGGTGCCAACAGGGCTGGTGTCTGCAGGTGTGGTGAGCCCGTGACCCAGATGAGTGACGTGCCCATCCCCAGAGGGAACGATAGAAGGAAGACAGAGGTGACCACGTTCAAAATCAAGCAAGGCAACTTGCACAGATCTTAAGGCTCCGGAATAATCCTCTTGGGCTCGACTTCCTGCATGCCAGGCTCTCTGGGGCACCACCTCCATGGCTCGGCAGGGCTGCAGGGCCCTTCTGTCTGTGAGGGTCCCACTCCCAAGGCTTCGAGCAGAGCCTGCCCAGGGGAAACCGAGCCAGTAGCCCAAACTCTGAAACCGAGGGGCCAGCCCTGACGATCTCTGAATTGCCTTTGGGGTCGTCCTTCCCTTTCCTGGAAAAACAGCACACCTTTTGCAGACAAAGAAGCCTACCTTCCCATTCCTACAGAATCTGAGAACTCCCTTCATCCCGTCTCCATCCCCTTCCAACCCACGGGGCTGTGTTTCTGCTCCCACAGATCCTTCACCGGAAGAAACTTCCGGGTCTCCCTTCAGGGCCCATTAGCTTAACAATTCACTCCTCCATTCACCTCGCTCCTCCCCAGTTTCACTGTGAGCATCCACATGGGAGTGCTCCCGGGCACACGTCAGCATTTCGCTTTGGCAGCTCAACCGCCAAGCGTGCTATTATGTGGCTCGTATGTTCTGCGTTCCACCAACGTCTGGACACGGTTCAGCCACGTTCTCTGCCACTTCGTTACAAGGGTCATGTTCTCTCCCTCATACAATGCCTCGTTCTTCATTCCTGCCTGAGGTCCCGCAGGAGTGGACTTGCCCGTCTGCATCTCTACCCGCAGCCGGTGCACACACAGCATCTTCCGTTTGGCATCTCCAAACTCTTCCAGCCTCTCCCGCGTCTTGGGTATTGGTTCGGGCAGCAAAGTCTGCAATCCTCTGCTCCGGCTTCTCTGACGAACATCACAGACTACAGAAGTCTCCATGAGGTGCCAACAGGGCTGGTGTCTGGTGGGGGCTCCCCCCACCCCGGGGGGTTGCAGACAGCCTTTCCTTGGTGTGAGCACGTGGAGAAAGACGCACACTGAGCTCCCTGAGGGCCACCCTTACAACCTCATTCAATCCTAATTACTTCCTTAGGTGCCCCATTTCCAAATACAGACAGGCGGGGGATGAAGGCCTCAACATATAAATTTGGGGGAAGAACATAAGCATCCAGTCCCCTAACATTAATAAAGCCACAAACATTTATTATCGAGTATTCCCAGAATGTATAAAGTCCTAGCAACACTCGAGAAGAAATAGAGAAAAGACACCAGCATCAGTAATGAAATACGGGACATCGCTACAAATCCCACAGACTTTTATGGTGTCAACCTAAATGAAAGAGGTAAACCGAGGCAAGCCCGAATTACCAAAAACGGAGTATATTTGGGAATAGGGGAGGAACTGTACTTCAGGACGTGAAAACTGTAGCACGCGATCTACTGGAGTCTGTTGAGGGTTTGGGGCAGGCTGGGCATCTGGGGAGGAAGACAAGGGGTAGGGAGTTCAGCTAGAGACCAAGCAGCAACTTTCCAGCTTGAGTCTGGGGAGGAGCTCTCGGTGGATGCCCCTTGGTCAAGGGATGGGTTTCCCTTTTCTGTAAAACCAGGCATTTACAGGAAATCAGTCTCTCTGACCTTGAGCATCATCTGCTAAGGACACACGCATGAGGTTCTGAATTTCATACCGTCCAGTTCTGTCCTAGACGGAAAGGAACATTATACTTTAGTCTCCCACATAGACTTAGATGTAAAATAACTTTTAAAAGGGGGGAAATGGGGTGCCTGGGTGGCTCAGTAGGTTGAGCGTCTGACTCTTGCTTTCAGCTCAGGTCACGATCTTGGGGTCGAGACATTGAACTCCACGTCCAGCTCATGCTGGGCTGAGCATAGAGCCCGCTTGGGATTCTCTCTCTCCCTCTGCCCTACCCCCCTCCCTGCCCATGCATGTTCTCTCTCTCTCCAAAAAAGTAAAAAATAAAAAATGGGGGGAAATACCTGATTACAACAAACATTACTGCTCAATTCACATAGGTAATGGGTGGTAGAAAAATATTTTAATAAAGATCAGTTTTCCCCCAACAGATCAGGACTTTGATCTACCATTGTTCCCTACAGCTTACAGGCAGGACCCAAAACAGGGAGGACGGCTCTGCCCCAGGAACAAGGGGCATTAAGAAGCTAGGAGGGACACACAGGGATGTTCCCAAGAAAGGGGGTATGGACAGTGTCACAGGAAAATAGAGAAGTTCATGCAGGTAGTGATAGAGAGAGAGCCCACATCCGGGGCCATGAGAAGGGTTGTGTTTCCTTCCCCATTTGCCTGTATTTCTCCTCAGGGCTCATTGCCACCGTGACCTCGACCTGAGCTGAGCAGAGACGTCACACGTGTGTCTGTGCTGACATGAGCTCCCCAGCACAGCAGGAA